GATGTTTCTCTCTCATCGATGTTTCTAACTCTCTATCTCTCTCCCTTCCTCTCTGTAAAAAATCAATAAAATATATTTAAAAAAAAAAAGAAATATCGATGTCTTATAGTTATTAGACCTTAAACATTTGTGGTGAAGAAGTCTTTGGAACTGCTGCCTCTCTGCTGTATGATGGGCCTGAGGTCATTTCAGGTTAGAGTGGCAGCAGCCAGAAGAAGATATGACGTGAAGCCAGGGAAGAGCAGGGACAAACCAAAACCCATGAGGACAAAATGGAGCCTATGTCTGCCTCTCACCACTTCATACTTCAGTGGCAGGTGACCTGCAGAAGAAATGGGTGCCTTTCACACTAAGAGAAGGTAAGGGAGCTACAGACCTGGCTGTTGGTCATGCCAAGGAGGTGAGCCAGCAGATCAGTAACCAAATGCATGAGCTACAGTGGTCCCTGGCACCTACACCTTCAAAGTGTGCTTAGGTTGCTGCCTCGCTCCCACCTTCAGATTCTCAGGTAAATTTCTCTTGTAGCCAGCTCAACCTGGAACCATATAGGAAAGGGAATTCTGGGAAACATGACTCAAGCTTAGGTTTATACACCACAAAACCACCACTATCTCTAAAATCATATCAAAAGGTAGCTTTTTAGATCCAGTGGAGATGATGAAGTGAGGGTAGGGGTGGGACAAAGATGTGAAGAGGTAAGGGGAGGAGGTGAAGGGAGCTTTCTTGGTCATTTTCCAGAATGTGTCTATAAAATAGAAAAGCCAGGTAGATGGTAGGTATGTGTTAAATGGTTATATATCCAAATGTTTATACATATACGCATCTATAAAGAAAACCTTACAATTGGACCCAAGTTATGTCTGAGGGGTACTGAATGATATTTAAGGGTTTGTGAGTGCCCCGGCTTCCTCTGGATAATATGGTAATCCCTACCCCATCCCTTAGTCCTCTCTCCTTCTGTTCTAAGTGCTGGGCAGCACAAGGGGAAGGAATCCAGGGGAGAAAGGGACAAGTGTGACCTGAAGCGCCCCAAAGGCCATAGAGGGGAGCCCCTAAAAACACATTCATCAACTTTCTTCTTTGGCAAAAGCCAGTTCCCAATGTACCAGAATGGAATGGAACAATGATGCTTTACACCACCAAAGGTGTAGGCTTGATTCAAGAAACATTTCCTCTCTGTAGGGGGGCAGTGGGAGGGGTGAGATGATAAAAGTTGGTGGAAGGCAATTCTTTCCAAAGTCCAGACCTTGGAGTGGCCCCAGAAGGTGTGGACGTGCCCAAGTTTTGTTCTTCTCTCTTTCGTTAAGAAGATCTGTAGTTCAATGGGAACCTTTATCGGTCATGTGTACCCGGGGCTGTTTCTATTTTCATACGGACTGTATCAGGCAATAGTGGTCTCCAAAGCTGTGATATTCAATGACTCTCGCCTGAATCCTTCATGTCCTCCAAGAAACAAGGGAAGATGGGCCAAGCTGTGGGAAATATCCTACCGAGGTTTGTTGAAAATAGTGACCGGCTCCATCTTGATAGCTTATGAGAACAGTTGCATTAAAGGAGGGTTAGTCCTGATGAACAGGGAAATGCCACCGAGATTTATGCTCCCCAAACAGTGGCAGCACCTCACCATGTTCATCCTCCTCACCCTCAATGGCTGTGTAGATGTCACGAGCAAGAACTTGCTGCCTCAGAGGTGTGTGCTCCTAGAAAAAGGTGCCCTGGTCCTGATCTTCTACGTGCTCCTGATGCTGTTGGTGTCACATGTTCAAGATTCGACAGGGGTGGAACTGCAGGTTCATTCTCTACTCATCTTGGTGGTGTTCCTGCTGATGCTGGTGTTCACTGTTGAGCTGTGGACTCCCAATGCATTTCACCTCTCAATGATTGAGACCTTCCTGTTTCTGATGATGGGCTCCTGGCTGATGCAGGCAGGCTTTATTCTGTACCGACCAGTCACCGGCTACCCATGGCAGGATGATGACATCAGTGACATCATGTTTGTCACCACCTTCTTCTGCTGGCATGTGATGATCAATGCTTTGTGCCTGTTAGGAATCTATGGTGTTTTTTCCTTTTGGCATCATTGTTACAATCCCAGGTCGAAGCTGACAGGATCCAAAAAAGCTCCATATTATGCAAACACTGAAGGACCCATCTACCACTTGCTGCCAGAAGTGGAGCAGTCAGAGAAAGATGACCAGGCTCTTCTCCTTCCAGAGAGCTCACCCTGAGATAGGGCCCAGGATACCTGGCACATTGTCCATCCCTTCTTCCTCCTTGTAGGTTCTCTTAGACATGTGCATTATATCCTCTTCGGTCTCCAATGAAGGTAATGGCCATGGAGAGCATTTGGTCTCCGTCTGCTGGTACATCTCCTGAACTTGTAATTGCTGAGGAAATGAGAGGGGGCTGAGAAAGGGATGCTGAATAGATTGGTGAGGTGGGGGAAAGAGAACCAAGTGAATAGATAAATGTGCAAGAAAAGCCATGGGGATTAAAAATGCAATAGAAGGGAAGCCTTTGAAGGGAAGAGAGGGGAATCCAGCAGTCATTCCATCTACCAGCTACTTCTCTGGGTACAAGTGATTGCCTTTTACCTGAGGGAATAATGATTTCTTACAATTCAAAACTGGAATCATTCATGTCTCATCCTGATAAAGAATAGTGGGTATTTCTGTTTGCTCACCAAAATGGCTCTACCATGTGGAGCTAGCATCAACAGAACTTTTGTCTCCTCCCAAAGAAAGTCCTTTAAGGATTGGGTTAATTTCAAATTAATAAAGTGAAACTATACTAATGCTTTAATATAGTAACATTTCAAATTTGTACAACTGAAATTTTTATAGAATCCAAATGTTCAGTGTTTTCCTAACTTCATATTTTATTAGTCCTATTCCAGACAAAGCTTACCTAGTTCACCATTACCACCTTAGCACATGTAATTTACTAGATCCTATCCATGAGTGTTGGCAAAATTTCAGTCCTTTCTATTTCACAGAAATCTGTCCCGCAATCACATTTTTTTTTCTTTTTTTTTTTAAATTCTTTTTAAAAAAATATTATAATAAGTATTACAAAGGGTATTACATATGTGTCCTTCCCCCCCCACCCCGCCCTTGATAGTCCCCTGCCCTCCCTTACCCCCCAGTGTCTTATGTCCATTAGTTACCGCAATCACATTTTTATCATGTTATCTGGTACCCAGCATAAGACCCACCTTCAACCTCACACCATGGAGCACCCCCAAGGATGCCTTCTCCACTATGACTCCTTTGTTCTGGGACTCTTAGACACATTTACTAGACCCACCTTGTTCACTGGCTCATACAGCTGATACACTTTGCTTGCTGTTTCTGAAATCCTTTCCCTTGGGGAGGCCTTTCCTCACCATCTAGAGTGTAGGCCATATCAAGTTACATACTTTCCTATGTATGAGCCAACTATGTAGCATAGGTGATGCTTAATAAAGGCTTGTTTGCTTTCAAAATCTCTGCCTACACGTTTCTTCTAAAAGTGTTGCCAGACAGGTCGGAAGGTCTGTGAAACTCTGGAAGCCTAAAGCCTAAGTCATCTCCTTAGTCATGTGCCCACTCTCTTCCTCATTCTTGGGATAACAAAATCCACTATTCTGTTTCTGCATTGTTTACTGTGCTAATCTATACTAATAAAAAGGTAATATGCTAATTAGACTGGGTCAACCGGACATCTTCCGGATGTCTAAGTTCCTTCCAGACAAAGCCACAGTGGCGGGGGCCAAGGCATAGGCAGTTAGGGGTGATCAGGCCAGCGGGGGAGGGCAGTTATGGGTGATCAGGCCAGCAGGGGAGCAAGCAGTTAGGGGTAATGAGGCCATGAGGGGGGCAAGCAGTTAGGGGCGAGATCAGGCTGGCAGGAAAGGGCAGTTGGGGGTGATTAGGCTAGCAGGGGAGGGCAGTTGGGGGAGATCAGGCAGGCAGGCGAGTGGTTAGGAGCCAGTGGGATCAGGCCTAAACCAGCAGTCGGACATCCCCCAAGGGGTCCCAGATTGGAGAGGGTGCAGGCCGGGCTGAGGGAACCCCCCGCCCCGTGCACAAATTTTGTGCACCAGGCCTCTAGTTGTTTTATAATTCCCACAAGCATTTCTACAAGGAACCTCCAAAAAACGCTGAGACTCAACAGGTTGACTTGCCCAAGTCTTACAGCTAGCAAGACAGGAATTCTTCAAGTGTAGGTGTGTCTGACTCAAGCCAATGACTATGTCCTCTGGGTCACTGTGATTTTGCTAATGGCAATGGTGAAGGGAGTGATCCTCCAAATGAAATTGTTAAAAGAGAAAAAAGAGCAAGCAGCAGTGCAAATACTCTAGACTCCCCTAAAAGATGTGTCTCTTGTCACACTTTCTGTTCATCACCCCCCCCAGTCTTGCCCCCTAGGGTGAGAGAGAGAGAGAGATGGGGAGAGAGAGAGAGAGAGAGAGAGAGAATGAATCTAGCTGACTCTCAACTTCTAGATGGGTCTTAAATTTTTGGGCTCAGATCTATGTGAGGGCTGAGGATAAGATTCGTTTGTGACCAAGTTTCCTGATCCTTGCCATTTCCCCTTAACTATTGGTTCCTAGACTTTTCTCAATGACCTTTTTAGAGGGGACCTTCTTTCTCTTCATTTCCGGTACGCATTGATGGAGAAGGCGAAACACCACAGTGCTGCTTGCTGCCCATTTCTAGACATCTGGCTTAATTTTATAATCATAAACAAGCCTCTGGTAATCAATTGATAACCACAGGATAATACCTCTTCAGTATCCAGTATAGGTAATAAACTTACCTATTATTAATTTACTATATTAGAGATGCAACAGAGAGGCCCTCCCCTTGAAAGCCAGTCAAGAAAACAACTTCCCACTCTTCAATTTGCCGGGAGACATGTAATTCTCACAAAATTCCACCAGAGGGCACTAGGTTCACACCACCTCAGTTAAGCCTCTAGCTCTCCAACTTGGTAAACAAGTCTCTCAAGAAAAGGTTTAAAAAGCAGGGGTCCGGAGAGGGAAGGTAAAGGAGATCAGGACAAATACAGAACCCGTCTAAGTATTGCCCAAGCATCCAGAAAACATACCCCAGGGCTATTTGTTTCCCATGAAAATTTGGCATGTGCATGTGAAATACACAGGGATTCAAATCAATTAAAGGGATGGGGATGGGGGAGAAGGACCTTGGACCCAGTTGAGGATATCTTTGGGAAAAGTACCAACTAAAAAAAGGCACACTCTGATCCTAGTAATGTTTTGACCGCAATGCTAAATCTCAACTTTTTCATAAACTTCAACAATGCTCCCATCATTCTAGAGAACAAAGATAGATCCATCCATACATTGAGAATAAGGAACCCATTTTATCGGTGAATATCCCAGATTCACAAAACAGTGAAACTGGGGGCCAATTATTGAATATGAAATATGACCTCCAAATATCCCTTTAAATGGAACCGTAAAACATTTTTGTTTCTGGTAATCCAGTTGTTCACAAGGAATATATTGAATGCCCACTATATGGAAGGCACTTAAACCCACAGCAGTAGTGTAGCACTTGGATTAGTCCCTGCACTTGGGTAGAGATTTCAGTGTTTTAGAGGTGGGAGTCCAGGAAGGCATTGTCCACAGCCTGACACTGCAGAACAGCGGTTCTCAACCTGTGGGTCGCGACCCCTTTGGCGGTCGAACGACCCTTTCACAGGGGTCGCCTAAGACCATCCTGCATATCAGATATTTACATTACGATTCAGAACAGTAGCAACATTACAGTTATGAAGTAACAACGAAAATAATTTTATGGTTGGGTCACAACATGAGGAACTGTATTTAAAGGGCCAGAAGGTTGAGAACCACTGCTGCAGAAAGTGAAAGAGAGTAAGGCTCTCAAGGGAGTTACACACGGGAAGCACACGGGCTGTGAAATACTGCCCTAAGATGACATCAGCAAGCTACTGACTTATTGAGGCCTCCGTTTCCTCACCTTTAAGACAGAATAATATGAACATCTAATTCCAGAATTGCACGGCTTTAATTTTCTCAACAGTACTTATTTTCCCATGTTGTTAGCTAAGATGAACTTAATGCTTCCCAACTCTGCAGTTTCCTACTGGAAACAAGATTTGGGGTAGGGCTCAGAGAGACTCAAACCTTCAGACATAACATGGAGTTTGAGAAACCAAGTGTTCACTGTATTCGAATGACTTCAAGGAGCCTTCAACAAAAATCAGGCTAAAGAAACACAGCTGAGGTTTGAACTTCTCATTTTCTAACCTGAGCTTAAGAATATCAAACAATCGACCTAGCTGGTGTTGCTCAGTGGTGAGAGTGTCAGCCCAAGGACTGAAATGTTGAGGGTTTGAGTCCGGTCAAGTGCATTACCTTGGTTGCAGGCTCCATCTGACCTGGTCCTGTTGGGGCACGTGTGGGAGGCAACCAATTGATGTGTCTCTCTCTCCCTCCCTTCCACTCCCTCTAAAAACCAATTGGGGGGCGGGGGGGGGGGGAATATCCCGGGTTAAAAAATTAACAAAACAAAAAAGAATATCAAACAATCAGGAAGGATATAAAGAACAATTTCTCTGTGTTCAGTGTTAGGTACTGAATTACGGTAAAACCTGGTCTTCCCTCCTTTAATTGTGTAATGAAATTGGAAAGCTTGGCCACCTGCAGCTCCTTCCCTCAATCTGGTTTAAGAGTAATGACATTAACTCCCAAGACTGTTCCTTTCCTTCTTTTGGATTTTTGTTTTAAGATTATACAATGGTCTATTCTTTTGAAAAGAATTGGTATTGATTTATTTAAAAACAAAAATAGTTGACAATTTGGGGTTGGGTTTCCAGGGAGTTTCTGAAGCCGGGGTCTCAGCTGTGTGCCTTTAGCCTGATTAAAGGGTTTTGTCGAATGCTGATTGAAATCATTCAGATGTGGGGAAACCTCCATTTCTTAAACTACATACATGTTAGGGCTGACAGTTTGGGTCTGATTGAGCCCTACCCCAAATCTTGTCCCTCAGGAGTGCAAGGCAGCCATGCCGGCCCTGGGAAGGCACCTCAAACTGCCAGCTTAAGGGCTTCCTACCTGCAGGGTGAGAATGAGTCCTTCAAAAGAGATAGAAATTGAAAGGTGAACTCCCAGGTAAACTCACCCTAGACAAGGCCTTTATTTCAGGCAATAGAGCAACATTGAAGAAATGCTTTTAGTCCCCGGCCATCCTTTGATATGGAACAAAATCTTTACCTGGCCCTCGCTGGTTGGGCTCAGTGGATAGAGCCTCAATCCAAGGACTGAAGGGTCTCAGGTTCGATTCCAGACAAGGGTATGTACCTCTGAGGCCCCAGGTGATCCCCAAGGCAACTAATCAATGTGACTCTCTCACATCGATGTTTCTCTCTTTCTGTCTTTCCTCCTCCCTTACACTATCTAAAAATCAATGGAAAAATATCCTCGGGTAAGGATTAACAAAAAAATAAAAAATAAAAAATTGCTCTCCCACTCCACCCACCCCTTGGACATACGGACTCGACCTAAGAGACAAAAACCTGAATTTGAAGCACATGTAATAGAACCCCCTGTCGGCTCTGATACTGAGTGTACCAAGAGATAGGAGAGTACATAGGCTCAAGCATTCTAATGCCCTTTTTACCGAGGGGGTGGGGAATGGGGTGGGTGGCCATTTGGGGAAGAAGCGGAAGGAGAACAAAGGGCAGCAGACACAGCAAAGCCAAACCAGATGAAACAGGCTGTTCTACGTTTAACTTCTCCAAAAGTACAGTCTGGGTTTCTGGGGGTGAACCAGTTGGTAACAGGACTTTTTCTTCCCTCATACCCTTTTAAGATTCCCAGATCAGTCCTTGGACTCCTGTGAGCCCTACTTCGGTTGGCTTCAGTAAGTGTAGGGTGGACCGAGGAGGACAAGGCCTCTTGCGCCCTCCTGAAAGACTCAGCTGTCATGTACTATGTTGCTAGCCCTGACAAAGTATGTCCCTGGTCACAGGAATGGCTCAAAGCAAATCCATTTCCATTCTTGAAAAAGCAGCTCAAAACCACATGGTTTCTTGGTGCCGCTGTCCTATCTGTGTGGTCAACAAACACCACTTATTGAACACTCACCCCGGATACTATTGGGAATTACAAGATGAATAAGCTACTCAAGGATGTTAAGCTACCTAGCAAGCATTCACAGGACAAAATATGATATCATAAGCTACAAAAAAACTGCACTTGCTACTATTCCATTTCCCGTTATGTTTGCCATTCCCACCTCAAGTGCTGGATAAAGGTGGTCAGGAGAGTAGAAGGCTCTGGTTTATGCGTAGGCAGTTTGGCATCTGGATATCAACACCTTTTTAAACAAGAACATCTTGTTTAAAAGGACCTTTTCACTTCCTCCCCTCCCCTCCTCAGCCAGCTTAAACTCAAGACTTAACAGAAAGAAATGGAATGGAGACAGCTCACTGTTACCAGGTCTAAGCCCACTCTCAGAAAACAAACGTGGAGCATAAGAGAGTTAGAAAGTTGTACATAATGGGTTGTTATGAGGGAAGAAATAATCCAATCTCTTCAGATGACATTTTATCCTATAATAATCATAAACACTATGTTCCAGATACTATACTAATTTACTTGCAAATGCTCTCACAATTAATCCCTACAATATTTTGTAGGCAAGGAAACCGAGCCTTCGTGTGGCTAAGTAACTAAGCCAACACAAAGCTGGTAAGAGGTAAAGCCCAGGTTGGTCTGACCTGAAGCCCCAGCTTTCAACAACCACATGATAAGATTCCAACAGGCAGCACTGAAACTTAACATGGAATCCCTTACACTTGCCAGGCACTTTACCCAGTCCAGAATGTCACCAGTCCGACACATACCCAAAGCTCTTTTAAGATGAAGGTTGCACCTGTAATTTTAAAGCACTACAGTGTTAAACAAACTCTTAAAGGGGAGGGTTTGTTGACCAGAAGCCACGTTGTGTGTTTGTGGTCACAGGCAACATTTCTTTTCCACATTTGTGGCACAAAAAATAACCAAAAGAACAAACTTCTTCCCTTCCTCTTCTAAAGGCTCTGAAAACATGCCCTCTCGGTCTTCAAACAAAAATACGTTTCCAACACTGGGGCTCCTGAAAGATGCAATAAAGGCCAGATACCTTCAGATGGATTTCAGAGAATAAAAATAGAGAATAATTAAGTAATAAAACTGGTGCATATATATGTGTGTCTATGTACATATATATGTATATGTAGATACACATATACAATTACTGTGCATCTGTTGACAAGCATCCATTTCGCGATTAAGTAATAAAACTGGTGCATATATATCTGTATATATATATTTGTGTGTATATATATATGTACATACACATACACAATTACTGTGCATCTGTTGACAAGCATCCATTTCGCGATTGTGTTTGTCTATATTTTCTCAACCATCGCTGCATGGCTGAGAGGGGGAAGGATACTGACTCTCTTTCCAGATTAAAAAGAAGGTGCAATAAATTACCTGAAAAGCAAAACCAGGGAGGATTTGTTTAAGGAATCCTAAATTTTCTACCTACCCTGGGGCCATCCAAAGACCTCCCTTTCCTTTCAGCCGCTCTTGGGGAAGTTTGCACAGAGAATTTCAATCCTGGTGGGCAACTCTAAAGGTCCTCTCTTGAAAAACCTTTGTTTGCAGACAAGAAAACTTGGGCCCAGAGAGACTGACTTGCTTTCCGTGTAACAGAAGGGGAATCAGACAGGTCCCCAGCTTTGTTTCTCCTGCCCTCAGGTTCCTCTCTATTGATGGTACTATAAACACAGCACGTTGACTATTAACTGTGAGCTCGAAGACATCTGGTCACTCACCCAAACCCACCCAGGCCTACCCCGGGAGGCCCCCTCTCTGCGCCGGCCTCTCCGCCCACAGGCCCAGGGCTCTCCGGCCCCTGCGCCCTGCGCCCCTCTCCATATGACACCAGCGCGGAGAATGGGGCTGGGAGGGGGGACGGAGGGTCTCTAACAACAAAAGGCAAATTTACGTTCCGCGGGGTCAGAATTTCATACGGGGTCTGCAGTAGGACCTCCTGAAAGACGGGACTCTTGCAACTTAATCCAACCTGACGGCTGCAGGGACGGAGGCTGCGGGCGGCTTGCTGCGCGCTTCCAGAGCCCGGTGGGCGCGGCAGG